TATATATATATATATATATATATATATATGTATATACGGCTACATAGCACTACAATTATATATATACATTATTATATGTATATATCTCAAAACGCATGCGAAGAAGCTGCAGTCTAGAGAGGGGTTGTTTGTGGGAGGCTGGGGTGTATAGGCAGCTAGACGAGAAGACCTTCTGCCGCTCCCCCTGCTCACCTTCAACGAATAAATTAATAAATATTTAAATAAAAAACGCGAAAAATATATAATTAAATTATTTTTAACTCGTAGTTTTTTTTTGGGGCTGCATGCATGCGGCCTGCTGCGGCATTCGGCGATCAGCAGCTGTATTACAGCCCCGGTGGTGTTTGTGGTTGTTTTGTTGTTTTTTTTTTGTACTTTTCTGTTTTTATTTTGTTTCTTTTGGCGGAAATCAGAGAAATTCTTTGATTAAACCCGAAAAAAACGGGGCTTTCTTTGCATGCATTCGCTGCATGCAGCGGCGGTGTGAGGCGAGGGTTTTTGGCTCTTTTTCGGTGTATAACTCAGCAACCTTCTCTTTTTGTTGATAAAGCTTTCATTTGTTTTGTTTCCTTGAAGGAGTTTAGGTGATATAAAGGGGGAGGAGGGGCCCCGGGGCCCCTGGGTTCTCTCTCTCTGTTCTTTCTGTTGCTGTGTGAGCTGCAACCATAGACAGCCAGGATGGAGCAGCTCGAACGCCTCAGCCTCGTTTCCCGCATCGCCACAGAACTGAATAACCACTGGGGAATCAGCGACAAGGTGGGCGTTGTTGCGGTGTCTGTACACCCGAAATGGGGTGTATATACACCCCAGATTGGGTGTATATGTACACCGATATATACATGAGGTGTATGTACACCGGAATTGGGGTGTATATACACATCAATCCATTGACCTGTCGTTTTTTTTTGTTTTTGTTTGTGGGTTCTGTTGTTCTATTTATCCCTCAATTAGGAGTTTCTTTTTTCTGCGTTTTTTGTTTTTGTATATTCACTTATCTTATACTTTTAATTAAATACACAAACTCTATGCAAATGTATTTCTGTTGCTCTCGAAGACTTGGGGTGTCTGTACACCTGAATTGGTGCCGTTGTAGCTGCATTTCTATTTGTATTTTAATTTATGTTTATATTTCTTTTTCTATTTACTTTTGTGTTTCTGCTTGTATTCTCCCGTTTATATTCGTGTTCACATAAATATGTATATATATATATATATA